CTAATCCTAAACCAAAAGACCAATCTGGTGCTTTTAAGGACTACTAATCCTGACACGTTAAGTTATCCCTTCTAGGACATTGTACCATTATTTTTCTTTGGTCTAACACTGACTTAATCCCTAATTCTACAAAAATTAAGTTCTACCACACCAATCTCTGGTYGCCATAAGTACTACCAGTCCTGACAAAGTAGGTGATTAAACCAGAAAAGTCTGAAATTATTTTTAAAAATTAAGTATTTCTGTACTTGTACAGYATAACCCTGTTCTAAACTCCTGTACTTTACCCTTAAACCCTAATCCAAATGTGAGGTTCCACCATATCAGAACTGGGTTTAGTCCTCAKAAGGACTCCCGGTCCTGACAGGGGTGGTGRTTATACCAGAAAAAGGYTCTAAAACCAATACCATCAACCAAGTCTTTATAATCTTACTGGGACATTGTACTGACTTCCATTCACTTTCTTTGGTCTAACACTGACTAACCCTAATCTAAACACCTGTTCCTTATAGTCCTAAACAAACCCTCTAATCCAAATGTGAGACTCCACCATATTAGAACCAAGCTTTGATCACTAGAAAGACTCTTGGTCCTGACAAAGTAGGTGGTTATTCCAAAAAAAAATAAAGCTTGATACCAAGTATTTCCATACTTGTAATATTTCACTGACCTCCATTCAGGGTTTTTTGGTTTAAAATCAAGATTTAGATTTTCACTGGGTACAGTTAAGACAGTAGGAATTCTCAGTTGGAAAGACTGCACTGAAGTTAGTRTAACGCCTATTTAAGAAATGATATAGATGAGGAAAGATGTACAGTCTCCCCAACCAATCAAAATACACAGGTAATTGTTTTAACCAATGAGAATGCAGACCACCAGTGTGTGTCCCACCCACCTGTCCCTATTTGTTTACTAGCATAAGGAGGAGAGTTGCATWCTGTGACAAGAGAAGGAAGTTTGAAGAGGRAAGACAAACTTACMACAAACCCTGCTGTGGATAATTTCATCGTTTATCAACAGTTTTCTGAGCTGGAGAATAGCTGTAGTAAGAATACAGACAGGTTTTCTGCAGACTTGAAGAGCGGTGCACAGGGCTAAGTTGCTAGCCTCGTTAGCTCTCAATGTCGTAAATTTCCTGAAAATTCACCTCGTTCAGCTTCCAACAGTACGTTAAAACTCAAAACTGATTATTTATTTATAAGTTTCAAGTCACTGTAATGAAAGAGTAAAATCATGCCTGAGACAGAGCCACCACCTCACTGCTGACTGCAAACGCGTTGCCGTGAAATATGTGAGAACATATTTTCAATTGGTTTCCTTTTCACTGTATTGGTATTGATGAATTGTATTTATCTCAGCTGTTAATATCTGTGCATATGCAATACTTTGCTGATATAATTGAGTATGTTTTCATATTACCTTTGGAAAAATGTTCAATTCACAATTTACAAAGTGTTTTGATAATACACAGCAAAATGCWCAATTTGCACAAGTGAATCATCTTTGAAAAAAAATTTTTAAATTAAAATCCAATGTCAAAGATGAGGTCTATAAAACCTGAATTGCGGAATATAGCAAGAACATCTTAATTATTATTTGTGTCATTCTTTTCTGTCTGTTGATWGCTCAGTAGTTTTTATTTATTTATTTTATCTCGGTGCAAAATTGTTGACTTTTCTTCAATAGGTTTCAGGTCATCTGACCCAAGTGTCCTGTTTAAAGAGCTGATGAAGTTCTTGAGCCATTTTTAAAACTACTGTACATATTCTAACATTAACTTGTTCATATTATTTCCCCTTAAGTTTTTATTTATTTTAGTACTGTGATCATTTTTACTTCAATAAAATGCCACTTAATATTTTGCACTGAGACCTTTTTTATTCTTACATCATCACAAGCTGAGTAGTAGATGAAATATTAAAAATTAAAGTAAATTATTAGTCTTATACACAGGTATATTCTCACAAAGAATAACAAACACTAACACAAAATTAACTAAATTAAATCACAAATTGTCCTCAGAAAACTGCTGATTTTGGACTCGTGTTCAAACACCCTCTAAGCTTTGTTCCAAATGCCAGGAAAATGCATTAATGATGCTCTAAATTAAATTTCTCTAGGGGAAGACCCCCAGACCCCTATTGATGTATTGCTTGATCAGCCCCCTACCTTTTCAAAATGGCCTTCTACTCCTGAAACGTTTGAAGCCCCTGCCTAAYCTCCAAAAAATGAGATTCTACTGGATTAAAACCAATATTTGGAGCCCATAAGAACTACCAGCCCTGACAACGTAAGTGATCATAGCAAAAAATAAAAAGTATACCAAATATTTATATACTCATACAYGATAACCTTGGTCTAACCTTTACACTTTAGCCTTAACCAACCCCCCTTATCTTGAATGAGGTTCCACCATATTAGGACCAGACTTAGGTCCTCATAAGGACTCCAGGTTCTCACAAGGTAAGTGATTATACCAGGAAAGGCTCTGAAAATGGTAAAGTATTTCCACACTTACTGGAACATTTCAATTACCTCTATTAATTGTTTTGGTTCAACACTGACTAACTCTGAACCAAAGACTTAAACCCTAATCCTAACCCAAAAAGTGAGGTTCTGCTGGATTAAGACCAATTTCTGGTGCCCATAAGGACTACCAGTCCTGACAAAATAGGCAATTATACCACAAAAGTGAAAACAAAATCAAGTGTTTCTATACTTGTACAATAAAACCTTGATCCAAACTCAGACTTTAGACCTAATCCTAACCTTAAAAATAAGGTTCTACTGGATTAAGACCGATCTCTGGTGCACATATGGACGATCAGTCCTGACAAGATAGGTGATTACACCAACAAAGGCTATGATACACATAATAAGTGATTATAAGAGAAAAAATGTAAAAGATACCAAGTATTTCTATACGTACACAGTATAACCCCACTCTAAACTCCTGCATGTTATTGTTAGCCCTAAACTAAACCCCTAATCCAAAAGTGAGGTTCCACCATATTAGAACTGGGCTTTGGTCACCATAAGGACCCCTAGTCCTGGCATGTAAGTGAATATACCTGGAAAGGCTCTAAAATAAGCAGCATAAACAGAGTCTTTCTCTCCCTACTGGGATATTAAACAGACAGTGAACAGCTTTGTTACGTGGAGCAGGAGAAACCTACAGATCAACTAGTGATGGGTCTGAGGAGGACTGGGGCTTTGGTGGTTTGACTTTCAAGGGCTTCAGTGTGGATATGGTGAACGAGTAGGAGTTCTTGCGGAAAATAAATATGAACTGGCCCAAAAATGTGGAAATGGTCTGCAAGCAGAGCCAGAGCTGGCTCTGTTTTCCCCAATCCCCAACCAGAAGACTCTGTCGTATCAGGACCAGGTCCCCCACGAGGACCACTTGTAAAGAACGGGTATTTTACCAGAATCCTAGAAAAGGGGGCACGAAAACTCCCTGAACACACACTCGGGGCCTTCATCTGCACATTAGCATGGGGCCTAAACACCGCGAGGAGATGAATGAACATGAGGCCCAGAGCCGGGACTCTCCTTGTCTCCTGTCATCCGTCTCCATGGCGACAGCAGCAGGAGGACCAAACCTGGAACCTACCCGGGCCCAAATAAACAGATGGCCACCCAGCCCCTACCCCTCCCCTCCCTCCAGCCTACCTTGCACTGCTCCATGCACGTCCTCACCGAATATTCCCCCGGCTCGTATTTCCGCGTGAGGAGCTCGAAGTCGTCGTACTTCTCCTGGGCGTGCTGGTCGTAGCGCCGGTACGCCTCGACGCAGTCGCTGCACCGGGCGGCGGCGTCGCCCCGCGCCAGCGCATCGAGGCTGCAGTTCAGGTTGTCCGGACTCGTCGAGCCGCGGAACAGGTCCAGCAGGGAGTAGGAGTCACAAAAGGCCAGGTACAGGTCGCTCATGTTGCTCACGGCCCGCGCCGTGCCCTCCTCCCGGTCGGAGAGGCCCGAGCACAGGTCGTCCGCATCCACCAGGGCGAGGCAGTCTCCGGGCGAGCTGTCCCGCCGCTCCTGGTGGCAAGTTTCGAGGCGCCACAAATGTTTGGTGGAGTTTCCTAGAAAAACAGCGCGCGGGTTTCCTCCGAGGCTGCCGCGTGCCGACTGGGTCTGTGGGGAGCTGAGGTGGGAGGACGCGAACTTGTCCGGGGTTCGGGCCAGTTTGGCCTCGGCGCAGAACCACAGGTGATCAGAGAGGAGGACGGTCAGGAACAGGAGGGATGCCAAGGACAGTCGCCATCTCTGCGCCCTCTCGGAGTCGGTGAATGGCTTTTGGTGGTCGCGGGGGGGCTCTAGCCAGATTTGGAAGCCGTCGTCATCTTCTTGCTGCCAACACGTCCCAGCACCCCTGGTCATATTTTGGGAACCGGCCGACTCCACCGTGGGGGCTCCTCTGCCGCAACAGTCATGGACGTCGGGAGCCGAGTGCGTTTTCCTCCCCCCGAGAAGAGTCGAGCAGTGGGTTGTCCCGGCTGGCCGTCGCGATCAGCGGTAATTCCCATCAAACTGAGCGTGGGCCGGCTGGGAAATCAGATCACCGCGGGCCGCATCCTCCATGGCTGAGCGGTGAAGCCGCTGCCGTCCTCCCCGTACGCCMCGAGCCGCCTGCCGCGCGGCGCCGCTCCCGCTCAGCTTCCCGCTCCTCTGCGTCGGCTCGAGTCCGTTTTTAGAAACACTCACCGACGCGCTTACGTTTTACCCGGCCTCGGTCGCGCGCGGACAAGGGCGCTACCGTCTTCCAACATGGCGAAGGAGTCCGCCTTTTGTGTTGGCGGTTGGGCCCGCAGCCTGTTACAGACGGATTTCTCTTTTTTTAAAAGCCCTCGCCGTCTTCGTCTCCTGACGGTGGTCAAGTTGCCGCCATGTTCGCCCAGAGACGGTGTGTGTGTTAGCGGCAGGAGCTTCCGTTAAGCCCGCGGTGACGAACAGCGGCATTTCCTGGTAAACTTTTCAAAATAAGACAACCAAAGCCTTTAGGGGTTAGTTTTAATAGTGACCTGTGCAGGTAAAATGAGTCACAATGAGGATGTTTTCAATATTAAATTATTGGGCAGACTATGCTCAAACAGATGTAAAACTAAAATTAGCAAAACATTAACTAAAACTAACAAAATGTAAATAAAAATGTTAACAACATGCTAAAACTAGCAAAATGATGGCTAAAATGTGGCTAAAATTCTAAAAGGAGCAGAATGATTGATAAAAGTAGCTAAATGGATGCTAAAATAAAAACAGAATGGGCACTAGATGCTAAACATGGAACGTTAACTAAATGAAGCAAAATGCTGCAAAAATCTAAAAGGTGCTTTATGATGGTAGATAAAAGTGACAAAATATATGCTATAAGTGAAGAAAGACCGTCCATCATTAAAMAGAGGTGGAGGCCTCCGTTTTCAGTTGTCCCCCTCCTACAGTGCTGCTATTGCCAGTATCACTCCACCCCCTGTTAACAATAAGTGTTAATTAGGTGTCAAMGATAGCCAKGTGATGTGAGTATCAGTCACATGGAGGCAGGGCTTAAAAGCCTGAATTTTGCCTGAAACTCTCAGACTGAAGAAGTCTCTTGGAGGAGAGACGAAACGTTTCATTAGAGAAGAACCCGTCCAGAAGACCTACACAATTTTTTCTTTTTGATTTTTTACCTGGATTACTGAGATGCATCAGGACATATGCTATAAGAAGTAAGGCTTAGTTACAACCTAAAAGTAACAATCATAGTTAACAGGCTCGAAATGGAAGCTAAAATTAGAAAACCAGTTGTCAAAAGGAGCAGAAATTTAACTAAATGTAGACACAGTTATAAAAGTAGCAGAATTGTTGCCAATAGGAGCAAAATAAACCATTAGTTAAAATAAAAACAAGAAATGAATTGTGATTTAAGCTAAAAGAAGCAGAATAGTAGCTAACTATAGCTAAATTCTTGAAAGTAGCAAAATGTTTGCTAAAAGAAGCTGAATGTGRCTGAAATAAAAACAGAAGCTAAAAGCTGAATGGTAGCTAAATGCAGCAAAATGCAGCTAAAATCTAAAACGTGTTGAATTGAAACTCTAAGCTACAAGTAGCAGAATTGTAGCTAACTGTAGCTAAATGAAAACTAAAATTAGCAAACAGTAACTAAAAGTAGTAAAATGTAGCTTTTATGAGTTATAAAAACAAGACAGAATGGAGAGTGTATAGGTTAAAAACAGAAAAGTTATTGCAGGAAAAAAAATTGTAAAATTTTGTAAAAGGAGCAGAATGGTAACTAAATGTAGTTAAATTTTAAAAACTGCTGAATGGTAGTTAAACTTTGTAAAATGGATGCTATAATGTATTTTTCAAAGTTGGGCTGTGGCGACCGCCACAGGGCGCTGAGGGGCCTCAGAAAGCTGGGGGGAAGATAGGGGACAAAAGCTAAAGTTTTATCTAATCAATGTTTTCAAATCAGTCATGTATGGAAGCCCATTTCCGCCACCCTGATAAAAAAATAAATAAAACTTTTATCTCATAATTATGAGATAGCTAAGTCATAATTATGAGATACAAGTTTTATTTTTTTATCAGGGTGGCGGAAATGGGCTTCCATAGGAATGAATTTGTTTTTCAATCACTATTTAAAAATATAATTTATACATAATAATTGCATTTATAAAAATATATTTAAATGTTTGTGGTTTGTTCATTTTGTTCTCATCACCAAAAGTTTCTTGAAATGTTTTTTTTTAATAAAATTCTTACGTTAAACAAATTTAATATTTATTCAATAGTGATTAAAAGTGAGAAAAAACATTCTAAAGGTTGATGTTTCTTCACATATTTTCTAGTATTGTTTGTAGGTTTGCAAGGGGGTGGGGGGTGGGGGGTCTTGGGGCAGAAGTTAATGCTGTTTGGGGGGCCTTGGMATGGAAACATCTAGAAACCCCTGCTAGAAGCAGCAACACTCAGCTAAAATCTAAAAGGAGGAAAATAGTAATTCAAAACTAAAAAAAGCAGAACTATAGCTAAAAGTAGCAAAGTTGAAGCTCTAATGAGCAAAACATATTTATTCAATAAGGAGCTAAATAGATGTTAAAAGCTAAATGTAGCTAAAAACTAAAAAAGAGTGGAATGGTAGCTAAAAGCCAAAAAATGGGAATATAAAAAGAAACACAACTTAAAACATTAAAACAGCAGCTGAATAGACACTTAAGATAATTTAGGCCCACGCTCAGGCTAATTCAGGAAAAAAGTCTTCAAAGTATTTTAAAGGATTGTTTATGAAGACATACATAAAACTTGGAAATGTGAAATAAGAATATGTTATTTTAGGTATGGCATACACTTAAAAGCAAATAATTAAGTYATTCGGAGTACAAAATACTATTGTTCAGAGTAGAAAATACTACTGTACCGGGCGGGGGTGCTTCCAACAGGGGGGGAATGATCACTCCTATGAATTTGTTGAAAAATTAATTTCTGGAAACAGTTTAAAAAGATCCAGTTGTTCTTCTCTGTCGAGTCAAAATATCTGCTCTGAGCTACACTTTATAAAATACGATTTTAATCCAGCAGACACCCTATTCTGCTTGTTGTAGCCATACACAATAAACTCATTGGTTGTAGCTTTGTTTTATTTTGAAGGTCATACCTCTCAACTTCCGGTGTTTCTCTCCACGATTTTCTTCAACCTGACGAAGCTTGGTTGGACTCTGACGTTATGCACGCCGCAGTCACCGCTTCCAGTCTTTCAAGGGCGCATCAAGTCAGACAGACTGAGCAGAAACATCGGCACAGAGCGGGGGGGGGGATGAGGATTTCACAATAAAACTCAGAGTTTCCGGTTTTTAAAAAAATAAAACGTTTATCTGCAGGTTTTTAAACGAAGAAAAAGGAGATAATGCCTGATATAAAAACAAGCTAATGGGAAACACAGCTACAACATAAACACATTGAACTTGTTTAGACAACTATTTATTTTATTCTACCAACAGGTTGTTTATTGTTGCAGTCTTGAATCAAGTTTTGGGCTGGCTCCATTTTTAATAATCTGCTTTCAAATTATTTCCATTTTTATTTCTACTAAAACATTAAGTTTACCACTCCTAAAATTAGCAAAGCAATATCTAAAATAAGCAAAATATTAAAATCCAAAAGGAGTAGAAAGCTAAATGTAGCAGAAAGATAGCTAAAAACTAAGAGGTGCAAAATGGTATAGTTCAAATTAGAAGAATGGAAGCTAAAAGTAAAAAACAATATTATCTACAAATGTTATAAAAATGTAGCTAAACGTATGTTAAAAATAGCAAAACAGTTGCTAAAGGCTTAGCTAAAATAGCTAAATGCTGACTAATCTAGTGTTACACACTCAAACTTTAATTCTCATAACTGAGGTCATTAAATGAGCTGTCTACAACATGTAAGATTCATACACATTGCACAGAACACCACAAAACTCTTTACTGTGGGAAAAAAAAACTTTGTCTCGTGTTTTTTCATCCCAACATGCTGAAAGCTGAATGTGGACAATGTTTCACCCGTGTTTTTCTGTTATAAAATATCTCATGACCCTCTGGATGAACTGGACACCCATTGGACATGAACTGGGCATCAATCAGACATATACTGGATGTATGTCTCTAACTTGAATCTCGTTTGTTCTTCCAGAGACGGCGGCTAATGGCAGCTGCAGACCAGACGTGGGTCAGCTTCCTCAGAAACCCAGTGTGAACGCCACCGKTTGTCCGGAGGCAGCTGTCAAACTATTAGTCGGTGAACATCCGGAGCGCTGGTTCTCCAGCAGCTACCGCTGKCCTGATTGAAACATCAACATTAGGGGCGATGGTCTTTCTTCAGTGTCGGCTTTCAGCCAGCCAGACCTTTGAGACCGATGATGGGCTCCGTTGAGTCCTTTCAGGGGGGCCAACAGTTCAGTCTGTCAGGACTCCGCACTCACAACACTACAGGCAGGAATAAGCACCGGTTGAGTCCCCCCTAATTAAAGCCTGTCACTCAAACGCACACTCTGCATCACCTAGAAATAGTCCAGAGTGGGCGATGGGTTACATAGTGCCTACGAGGCCACGTGACATTTTAAAAATACACTTTCTTTTCAGACTCCTTCAGAGTTTCAGGCCTTTGAAGAAATGCACATTGCCCGCCGCCTTTCATGTCAGAGTTTTAACCTAAAATCATTTCCTTTGGTCAAACCTTCATGTTATCAGTTAGATCTCAAAGTATGTTTAGGGGCGACTCAGACTCAGTTCCTCTAGTGATTACTGTCTGTTAGTTTTTGTAAAATCCACTGTTTGTGAGATATTTTTGCCTTCATTGGCAGACCATGCCAAAGTGTTTGAACACCTTTACTAAAACCTGCCTGAGTAATAAGAATGTCTGAGTGGTAGAATTTATTCAGTTAACCAAAGGAAGTAAAGAAAGAAGCAGAAACACTGATGGGGTCTTCAGGCAGCGTTTTTGCTCAACAATAAGCAGAGTGCCACAGGCAGGTCTCACTGCACCCTTGAGACAAAAGTGATGAAGGCTCAGGACATAAAACTCAGTCCCAAGATGCAATGGTGGCATTTCTGAGGACAGGAAGACATGGACGTGTCTTCAGAGGAAGGCCTCCAGCTTCTCTGCCCCATGGAGTCACAAGACCCCTTCCTGAGCAGCGAGGGAGTTTAAAGCAAACATCTTTAAATTAGTGTCATCTGACTAAAGATGAAACAAACATGTTTCTTTAAATTACAGAGGTGAAGGTAGTGGTCATCCTCAACCCCAAACATCAACGTTCCTCATGTGGTGGCCATCTGGAATTCAAATTAGTGATGCAAGACCTTTCATTTGGTAGAGTTAGCATCAGTGGTTTTGTTTTGGCAAAAGTCAGTTAGCTGTGGCATCCATCCATCCATCCATCATCCATCCATCCATCCATCCATCCATCCTCAAACTCAGCTACCCATCCATCCGTCTATCATCCATCCAATGACCATTCATCCATCTATCCATGCCTCCCCCCTCATGTACATGGGCACCACTGACCAGGAAAGAAAGAAGTTGATGAAAATAATGGATGGATGTTCTTTCAAATAGTTATCAGTAGATTTTTTTTATTTATTACTCAATTATTTTATTCATAAAAACTTAATAATATAAATACAGTTAAATAGAAAAGTAAGTGAATGAAAAGGGTGCAGAGTGAATAAAATAATCATATTCAGTCTTGTATAAAGTACCACAAAGTTATACTGTATTAAAAGTACAAGTATCTTACCAAAAAATTACTTTGGTAAAAGTTAAGTCTCCTTTAGGAATATTACTTGTGTAAAAGTCTTAAAATATCTGATATTTGTTGTATTTAAGTATTAAAAGTATTGATTTAAAATGAGCAGTTAGATTTTCTGTAAGGACATTTATTAGGAGGTGACCTCCTCAAAAACTGCAGAAATGACCGTATCGTATTAAACTAATTAATGGATGTTAGATTTAAGATGCACTAGTCCAGCTGTTTCAGTTTATATATATATATATCAAGGCTGCACAAACCTTTTCCACAAAATGAAAATCTATCTGAGGGCTGCAGCCAAATGTAATAATATAATTCATGAAATACAAATACTTCTTAAATACAGTCCTTTTRTTTTAATGATTATGTCCTGCTTAAGTGTGACATGATTTGTTTGTTTACAAACTAATACGGTATCAGAGTTTTATATATTTATACTTCTCATTCAACCACAATTAAATTCACTCTAAGAGGCACAATTTATGGATAGTATTTATTTTTACAATAACAAGCTGGAGTGAAAACAAGCAAAAATGAAATAAAAGTAACGACTTTCTACTTCTTGTCTTTTTTAAAAATGTTAAGGAGTAAAAAGTACAGATAACTGTGTTAAAATGTAAAAAGTAGAAGTAAAACGTAGGTTGAAAATAAACTACTCAAGTACAGATACCCAAAAATTCTACTTAAGTACAGTAAAGAAGTATTTGTACTTAGTTACTTTACCACTCTGATCATATTTGTGCCCATTTTCCCCAAAAATAACCTCAACAAACTCAAGCTTCAACAATCCAGTCATCAGTCTAAGTATGGAGGAAGAGGAAAAGTCCATGTAAGGATCAAGCTAGCTGCTCTCTGTGTTTACCGGAGATTCAATGAGATGAAGCTGAATGAGAAAACAATTCTTATTCATTCGAGACAACTAAAACTGTAAACCAGAAACTTTATTAATTACAATTAAACCCATAGAAATACTGACTAAAACCCAGAATATTTACATTTTTTTAAATTTATACCTTTATTCATAAATTTACAGAGAAAAGATTTTTTCCTTGTGTCATTGAAACCTTGTGCTCGTCACAACAAAAACATCAAAGCAAATAGTGGGTGTCATCCAGCAGATAGCCAGCTTCGATGGAATCTGTCACCCAGGAGTCTCTAACWATCTTAAACTTCCTCCTGAAACGGCGGCGCTGAGTTCTCAGGGCCAGGAGTCTGGTCTCCTCCTCAACGATCACGTGTGAAACTCCTTCCTCCAACTTCCGCACCACCGTCCCTCCGTGGTAGCGAACCTCCAGCGCGCGGACATCCAGACAGGAAGCCGGCGCGGCGCTTTCTGGATCCCCGATGTCAGCGAACACGTCCGGGTACACGGTGCAGGGCCTGAACATGCTGGTGGGAAGGTCGTCCCACCCGTAGCGCTCCTCCACCTGCGCCGCGCTCACCGCCGTCCCCTCCGTGCTGCCGATGCGGCCGAACACCTCGCGCAGCTGATGCTCGTCCGTGTCGACGAAGTAGCTGTCGCCGTAGGCGTCGTACTCCCTGGCGAAGTGCTCCTTGGTTGACGGCGACATGTGGATCATGTGGCGCGGCTGCCACGGCACCACCGCCTTCTGGTCCAGGCACTCCAGCAGCCAGGAGGCCCAGACCACGTCGTGCTGGTTCGACGAGATCAAGTTCTTCACGCGCGTGTTCTCTACGCCGGCGATCACGCAGTAAGTGTCCCGTCCTGGGTTCTGAACCACGATACCTCCACACCTGAGGTGAAATTTAATAAAATACACAAATCCCCTGTTTGTTATTGACAACTTTGATAAAACACAGGACAAATAAAATATTTAAAATGTTCTGAGGTTTGTGGTTTTTCTCAGAATTTTTAGATAAAACTTCAGTGTGAGATTAAATTCTTAAAGGGATCCCTGATTAGTTGTAACATTAGACTTTATTTGATAAACATTTATTTTAACTGTAAAATAAGGACAATAGAAATACTGTAGGATGTTTAGTTTTGTAATTTTTTAAAAATGTATTTTAACCATGGATGGAGCCATTTTATTTACACGCAAAGCATTCTGGGTAAATGATGACGTGGATAGGTCATCGGTGCGAGGCTGCTAGCGAGCTATATCCACCCTGAAGGTTAATCTTGGACAATATCTGATGATCGACTCTTTTAAATGAAACCAGAGAGCGTTGACAGAGAGGAGAAGGTAGAAATGACTCAGCCTGGAACTGAAAATATAGATGGAGGACAACAGAGCTGCTTCATGGAAGAAGAACCTCAGCTTAGCCTGTTATCCTTTGCGCTAGCACTGATGCTATATTGCCTTAAATGTATTAGCTCAGTGCTAGTGCGACAAACAAGCTAAACTGAGGTCCTCCATCCATATTTTCAGTTACAGGCTGAGTCATTTCTACCTTCTCCTCTCTGTCAACGCTCTCTGGTTTCATTTAAAAGAGTCGATCATCAGATATTGTCCAAGATTAACCTTCAGGGAGGATATAGCTCGCTCACACCGATGACCTATGCACGTTATCATTTACCCAGAATGCTTTGTGTGTAAATAAAATGGCTCCGTCCGTGTTAAAATATATTTTTTAAAATTTTAAAAACTAAACAGACTACAGTATTTTTACAATCTTTATTTTACAGTTAAAATATTTGTTTATTAAATAAAGTTTAATGTTACAACTAATCATGGATCCCTTTAAAGGGCCAATATTATGTGTTTCTCAGGCGTACATTTAAATTCTTTACCATAATAAAGTAACTATGTCAGCTTCAATTGTTATTAAAATGTTGTTTATGTGTTTAAATAGAAAAATATGCTCTTCATATCTGTTTCTAAACGCCTTGAAATTGGCCTCTGTCTCTTTAAGAACCTCCTTCCTCTTCTGTCCCGCCCATTTCTGTGATGAAGAAGCTCAGCTTGGAGACACAGTTCAGAGGAGGAGCTGATCCCAAAAGGTGGTTCTAGTCCCAACCTGTCATTTCTGCTCTCCCTTCCCTGGCTGCCTCAGGACACTACAGGATTTCTCAAACATGCATGAATGAGTCAGAGTAAGACTCTGGGCATGTTTTTGATGAGAGGATGAATTTATAACGTGATATAATACTCAAAAAAGTTGATTTTACATGATATAGCCCCTTTAAACCTTAATATGACTTTTCACATTTTTCTTTTTACCTGGCCACGCCCTTTTCCAGCTCAGCCTTTGGATGCTCTTCAGTGCCRTTCAGGATGCAGAACTCCACGTCCTCAAACATATCGGTCTCCTTGGAGACACCGGACAGGTCCTGGGGCTTGAAGTGGTCGACGACGCCGATCACCTTCTTGGGTTTGGCCGGCAGCTTCCTCTTCTTTTTCTGCGGTTCGTTGCCGTCCAAGGTGAGGTGCCGCGAGGCCAGTTTCCCGGAGGCTTTGCTGCGGAGCTGCTCCAGCTCCGCCAGAGTGGTGCACTGGTACCAGTCCTTGTCGTCGCGGATCTTCTCAATTCGGGGGAAGCGCAGCGTGCAGTTGGTCTTGTACATGTCGCTTCCAACGATCTCTGCCGCTTTGACCTGGATGATGACCGAGTTGCAAGGCTCGATGTAGACCTCTGGTTTCTCCGTCCCGCACAGGATGGACGGTGGCGGGTCATTTTTCCGGTACACCTTCCAGTGCTTGGTGAGTTTCAAGCTGAGGTCGTACAGCTCTTTCATGGTGTATCCTGAGCCGACGCGGCAGAAGGAGTGGAACACTGATGGCTTCTCGCCAGGCTTTGCAGCTTCGGCTACCGCACATAAGAAATGGGACATCATACCTCCTCGACTCCCTTTCCCTAAGTAGCCGCCAACAATCAGCAGGTCAAGTTCATCCATCAAGCCGTCCATGTATTCTGGCTTTATCTTCAGCCAGCCCTCCCCTCGTTTATCTGGTTTGTAAATGGACAAAGGATCTTTCACCATGATCCCCTCCTCTCTGTTGTCTATGGCATCGTTAAGCGCATTGACCACCTGTTGTGTGGTTCTGACCTCCGTCTTTGGGACCAAATGTATCCGTCCCTTCACTGGTGTGAAGACGGTCTGAAGAGTCTCGTGTCGCTTTTTCAGGGTCTCTTTTCCAAACTTTTGGTTATTCACCAACAAGACGTCAAACACGCAGAAACACGTCTGCAGCTCCGAGTCGTCCATCAGCCTCTTGATGTCAAATTTGCTTCCTTTCTGCATGAACGTCTCCGCTGTCGGGTTGTACGCCATCATCTCGCCGTCTAGGATGCAGCTCACCACGTGGCTTTTGAAGACATTGTGAATATAGGGAGTCAGCGAACCCTCGAGGGGTGAGCCTCCGAACTGCTGCGTGTATTCAAAAGCGTTTCGGCTGAAGTACTTGTACACGTCTCCATCTTTGTGCAGCTGTATCCGCTCCCCGTCCAGCTTCGTCTCGATGTAGAAGGGGTTGTTGCCCATCTGCTTCTCCACGTTGCGGATGTTGGCCACCGCCGCCAGCATTGGCTTGAACGCAGAGAAGAGCTCGATGGAGACTTCACTCAGCGACACGGAGGGGTTGTGGAGCTGCTGGCAGACCTTGTTCAGGTCCGTGTTGACGTTATAGAGTTCCGCGGCGTCTGGGTGGAAGACTTGGAGCACGGTTTCCTTGCTGATGCCAAGCTTCATGTCCTTCAGAATCATTCTGATGAGCCACTTCTGYTCAAGAGCGGAGCTCTGAGTGATGAGGTGCAGCAGGCTCTTTTTCACCTGGTCCTTCTGCTTGCTAGCGTTGTTGATCGCCACCGAGTCCAGAAAGTCATTGACTTCTTTGATGCTGAGATTCCCTTGGCTTGTGCACCGCTTCTTTAGCACAAAGTACGCCATGCTGGCAAAGTCTCCAGCCTCTCCTTGGGACGTGGTCGGAGCACGGTAGTTCAGCAGTTTATTGGCCTCGGAACCATTCTTCGGAAGGCCTAAAACATCTATGTAGAGCTTCGCAAGCATGCTTTCTTTAATGCCGTACGCCATTCGCTCCCGCTCAAACGGGGGGACAATGAGACGCATGGCGGGATAGAAGGAGTCTGTAGTTTTGKGATTGTTTTCATGGAGGGCAGAATGAAATTTACGCCAAGACTCGAGGAACTCCCCAAGAATCTTGGACTTTTCTGGACGCAGTTTAGACCTCTGGATTTTCTCCAAAGTTGTRCACAAGTGCAAGAAAGGAACCTGAGCAGCAACGGTTGGCTCCCCTGCAGCATCACTTGTAGAAGTTCCCTCCATGATTTAATCTGAAATAAACACACAAAGACAAAAATTACTTGTAACTCCTCCCTTTATGTTAGATTATGGAAAAATGTCCATTTAAAACATTACCTCAAGCAGACATTGACCATAGAAATAGAGTAAAACTCATTTTATTCAACTAATTTAACTTCAGTTTTTCTTTTCTACTCAAAAAGATTTTGGTTGAAGTAACTAAAACTGCAAATTTATCAACTTTCTACAGAGATGAACAGAAATTAATTGGAATAAACCCGGAATTTAAAATATTATAAGCTGGCTGTTTGAAGTGATTTAAAACTGTAGAATAGAGGTTAAATGTTAACATAGGACATATATTTAATATTTTTTGATACCCATTAAAATTTTATAATTTCTAAAGTATTTGAAAACCTGTTTCTGTGATGAATGCATATTTTTAGAAGAACAAAAAACCAAAACAAAT